TCGGCTCTTGACTCCATTCGCCGTCGGGTGTTCCGTGTCCTGGGTGAGGAAGAAAGTCTTGAAGCTGTTACAGAAGTTGTACTTGGCAATCATGGCCGAAAAGAAGCTATCGACAATCTTCAACTCGTCTGGGATTCTCGGTTAGCTTACCGCACGGTCGACAGCGTAGACCGACCCGCCCAGGGGCACTTACAAACATGGTCAACGTTGATGTACGAATCGGTGGGTGAGACCTTGGCCCCAAGAGCGATGTACTTCTGGCCTGTGCCCGCATTGGCCGAGTCCCAATAAGCCGCAACAGTATCCGTAAGCACGGAACTATCGGAGATCACATCGTAGGTGACAGCCCCGGCCGGGCACTGGTCCAACTTGGGGATATAGTATCCGAGGAATGCGCTTCCCTGCATCGACTCCAGGGTCGCGGGCCCGGGGTATTGCGGCTTGAAGATCTTCGTCCCCAGAGCGCACTTGCCGTTGTTGTAGCTGTTGGTGGTGCGGCCTCGACGGGCGAGCTGGTGCAGCTCGTGCTCGTCGCGCTTGCTGGTGGTAGTGCTGGAATCAACCTCCCCGTCGTCGGCGTCGTCATCGTCGGTGGTAGAGTTGTCGACGTTCAGGAAGTATGTCCATCCGCAAGTTGCTTGGGCCGATGAGGCCGAAGCTACGGCAGAGGAAGATGCCGCAGCACGAGCTTGGACGGGTATGGCGGACGCCGATGCCCAGGAGCTCAGGAGGAGCAGACTGAGAGCGATTGCTTTGGGTGGTGTCATCTTTGAGATTGCAAAAGAGTGTGGGATAAAGAGTGTGGAGTAAAGAGCGTCGGGTGCTGTGGTGAGAGGGATGATATCCTGGAGAGCAGTCTTCACTGACTTATATAGCCAGGGTTCATCTTTGTACTCGTCTCGATCAACAATATAGTCCCTTTTCATGGAGTAGAAAAGCTAATCGACCCTGGTGTTTCTGCTTCTCATCCTGTTATGCCAGCCGTGTGGTTTCATCCTTGGGGCCGACTTCAGACACTACGGCATTGCCACCGCAGGATCCGTACCTGGCCCCCATCCTCTCCTTCAAGGCTCGGAGTCTCCTGCATAAGTCTTGCAAAACCCTTTATCACGCATCTAATCAATAAGTATAGTGCTTTTTGTGATCGTTCGCATTGGAAATTTCGCAGAACAGACCGGTACTGGTGTGACAAGTTTGGAAAGAAATATATCCCAAGCAAAATTTAGCTCGAGGTGAAGCGGAGGAGAAAGAAGTGCTTCCTCTTGTCATCACTAAGAAAACCCACTAATAACAGGCTGAGCCAGTGGGGTAGAAATCTAGATCGACGCTGTGGTCGGTCGACGCGCAGAACCCTAACTTCGCCGCAGGTACGAGGTGCAGAACAAGTCAGGGGCGGCAACACTGGAACACGAGGCTCGGTCTTCTTGTTCAACTGACCATTTCTCTCATTCGTTCATCGCCTCCTGTCGAAAGCCTCTCAACCCGAAACAAGATGACGATCGTGCAGCTTGTCAGGCTCAATGGCCCCCACCCCCTGCGGCTCAAGATAGATGATGATCAGCACCGAAGATTGTGAGGAATCTGATTCATTGGAAAGAGAACCTCAGTAAGGTCAGTCATCGAAGAACTCTATTTTGATGCAGGGGTACCATGAGCTACCCTGCAGAAAAAAATAACCCTATAAAGGCACCAAGCGTGGTGGACAGAAGATGAAAGGCCGTAACGGGCTGGTGGCCCCCACGAGGTGTTCGGCCTCCTCTTACTCCGACACGAGCGCCACTGACCCCAAGCTACTGTACCACCTCCACTTTCCATATTTGATGATCTTCGGCCATCACAATTAGTCGTCAGGCTTTCACACTCTGTCAAAGCTCTGATCTATGGAGACAAAGTGTCAGTTGGCTTAGAACATATTGACATCAATATACGCCGTGATTTAACATCCGATGGGACCTGCGCAGCTACGTCCCTCATTGTCACTCATTATTATGCCGGAAACGAGTCAAGCCAGCGTGCAATCTGCCGCGCCCGCGCAGCTGCCTGTTCCAGTGATACATATCCATCCGAATCCCCTTCCGCCAAGCTCACCAAGCAGCTCTGGACGGAGCGTGCACTGAAAGGCAGCTCTTCCTGCTCGGGCGACCACGCCCACGGAACCGATTCCACTTCACCTGTGTCGAAGCGATGCACCGAGATGGTCACAGGCTCCGCATAGGTGTTTGCACCCAGGACAATACCCGCGGGGGAGATGAGACGAACGGCACCTTGCTCGAAGGTCAAGGTCCATGTGAGCTGCGGGTCTCCAGGGAAGGGTTGGCCTCGACTAAAGTAGGCGACTAGACTAGCTTGGGCTGCCACGTGGGCTGATTCCGGCAAGTGGCCTATGGAGGTTAGTTAGGTAGACCCTGTTCCATGTCTTGGAAAGCGCCACTCACCATGGAGGCTGACGAGATCCGGCACATCGGAGCGGATAGTCTCCACGATCGACCCTGTGGTGGGCTCGCGCAGACGAATGCTCGGGCGCTGGAGCTGGAATTGAATGTGGTCGGTCTCCGGGATCACATCCCCGACCACCGATTGCACAAAGTCGATGACTGTACGGTTGTCTCCTTAGCACGTTTTGACTCATGACACTCTTTCTTAGGGTACGTACCATGAGCGAAGCCGATGGTGATCGGGTTCCCGCCGACCGAGCGCTGGGCGAAATATGCCAATCCGGGCGGGAGAAACTCACGATCCAGGGTCCCTCCAAAAGCGCGGACCTCAGTATTCAGCAAGCGACCCAGTTCACCCGACTGGAGCAGGTCTCGGATCCGACGCACGGGGGGTGCAAAGCGACTCTGGAGCCCCACCGCGACTTGAGCACCACTGCGGCGGCGGGCGGCGAGAAGCTCCTCGAGGTGGGTCGGATTGCTGGCAATGGGCCACTCAATGTAGGTCGATTTGCCCGCCTGAATCATGGGCAACGCGGTCTCATAGTGCCGATCGACTCGCGTGCTGCAAATCACGAGATCGATCGTGCGATCCGCCGCCAAATCGCCCGGGCTGCCATAGGGAGTGACGCTACTGGCATCCAAGTCGTATTCTGCGATGGCGGCTTCGGCGGCCGACCGGCTACTGTTACAGAGAGCGGCGATCTGGAACCGCGAAGACCGGCGCAGACCCGGCAAATGCGCATTGGCAGCCCAGGAGGTCGTGGCGGTGGACGAGAGACCGATGATCGCAGTACGAGTCGACATACTGCTAGCCAGGATATACTTACATCAATCACTGCAGTCTGTTTGGTGAGCTCAGGCTCTTTTGCAGCAACAAATATATACTAACTCTTTGGCAGAATGCGGGGAGATCATCCTCCCGCAACATGATTAAAAATCGAACGTCGCAAGCGGAATGGCGTGACCGATGCTGGATTATCAATCAGCATTTCGTTTAATCTGCAGAAGATGTCACGTAGGCAAAAGTTGGACTGGACAGCGTGAGATATTTAGTGGTTATGGCTTAGTGGTTATGGAAGGCCACCATCCTGTTCAAGTATGAGTTGAGGGCGAGGCTCCGTGAGCCCCAGTGGGGGGAGTCGATACGGGCCGGAGCTCACATAGACATTCTTGGGATTGAGTGCGATTAACCTTGAGTAAGATGTCTGCGGTTGTTGATTAGACACAAGTAAGGTAATTCACAGTACAGTAACTTGGTCATGTGTTGATGCTTGGTGGTCTTTGATGCCTCAGGCCTGCGGATAAGGTCTCTTGGGAGGTGACATCATTGTGGCTGACAGGTGGCTTGCCGGTGGCTTGCCGGTGGCTTGCCGTGGCTTGCCCGATTAAGGTTACACAACACTGACACTGCAGTGACAATGCGCACGGCCATCCACCATACGGTCTGAAAAGGCCTAGAATACTGCGAGTATGCCAGCCTGAGGTATCAATGAATGCCTGGCTGGCTGGCTGGCTGGCTGGCTGGCTCTTTATTTCCAACCTGACCTCGACATTATACACCATACATTATGAGTACTAGGTAGTACCTACACAGTAGTTATGAGTACCAGTAGCAGCAAGAACTGGCAGACCGAGGCCTACATGTCATGCCTGAGGCTCCAGGCTTCCGAACCAGCTGGCTAGACCCGGATGGAAGCCAGAAAGTCGATAGTGATTGGTGGGTGTGGTAACCGGGCAAAACCGGGCAAAACAGCCAAACCAGTCAAATGCGTGCCCAACGGCGAGACTAACCCCATCCAGCCACGAGACCCGTCGCCTCCAGCTCCAGGCTCCTCCGACCAGGTTCTAGATTTTCTCGGCCGGCATGCCATCATCCAATGAGCGCGCCGATCTCGCCGGGCGGCAGGCCAAACCAAGCGACTGCCGGGGCGGTGACCAGGATTCTGCCGGTGGCCTTCAAAACAAGATTCCTGACACTTGCGACTGACTGACTGACTGACTGACTGCACCGAACAGAATTGAATATTCTTTGAATCTTCTTTGAATCTTCTGGCGGCCTCAGGCTCCTTCGCTTACTCCTTCAAGGTTGCCTTTCCCTCCCTCCGCTTCTAACTACCTACCCCAAAGTCCGCTTTTCCCAGAAGCTTTCGCCTCTTTCTTCCATTTCGTCCATTTGGGATCTTTAACCTGACTCAGCTCCTTTGCTTGAGCCACTAGTTACCTACTTTCACCAATTCTTTTCTAAGGTTGTCTGCATCAACCTCTTTTCTTTCGAATACGCTTTCCTCCTCCTCCTTGGTGTCACGTTTCCTTCCAACCTCCTGTTGTTGCGGTCCCGTTTCGCCTCTCTCTCTCTCTCTCTCTCTCTCTCTCTCTCTCTTTGATTCTCCCCTTCCCCCCTCGCCCCGCATCTATTCTCTCTCATTTCAAGTTTTTTTGCGTTGACTCGAACGCTCTGACTTGATCGGATCGGGGTCATCGCTGAATCCTCGCCTCCTCCGCCGCTCGTTTCTCTTCGCCCCCGCCCTTTGCGAGGAAGGCGATGTGAGACGGGCTGTGTGCGCGATGGCAGCGTCCTTGCAACACCCAGAGGCGGAGCGAGAGCGCATTCGTGATCTATCCAGGTACCTCCGTTCGCTTGCTCCAATGTACAACCCCTACAATCAACCCATTGTAACTGCTGCTGATGCTCCCAACTCCAACCTCACAGATACTATTGTACTGTTGATCAACCCGTCCTCCGCTTGGTACCCGGCCAAGACACCGATCAGCAAGATTCCAACGTTGATATTCCCGAAGACGATGTTCCTCCCGAGGCTCGCCTGTCCTCGGATATCACCCTCACAGCACTGGCCCAGTTGGGTGTATACCGGTTCGGATGTAACCGCTCCTATGTCTCCATTATCGACGGCGTGAATCAGTATATCGTCGCCGAAGCCACCAAATCCATCTCGTTGCGTGACAAGGATAAACACGACCCGGACGATGGCATCTACCTCGGTGTGCGCACGCTCGATCTGATTTGGGGCGTCTGTCCTCATTCCATCGCCCTCTTCACCGGCCAGGATGCCTCCAAGATCGTCGATTCCCCCAATCTGACCGCCAACCTATCCCGCTTCATTGTTCGAGATTTCACCAAGGAAGACTTCTACAAAGATCGCCCGTATGTCGTCGGCTGGCCGTACTTTCGTTTCTACGCCGAGGTCCCCATTTACAGCCCCGCTGGCTACGTGCTCGGCTCCTTCTGCATCGTGGACGACCACCCGCGCGATCACTTCGGAGATGCCGATGTCGCCACCCTCCGAGAAATCGCCGACGCCATCTCCCGGCATCTGGAGCATGTTCGTATCGCCCACTATCATCGCCGCGCCGAAAGTCTGGTCAAAGGTTTGACGAGTTTCGTCAAAGGCCACTCCGATTTTGACCCGACCGAAGTGCCCCCTGTGACGGTGCCCACGGACTCACCCCCTTCCACTACCGACTCCGAAGCGCCAGCATGGATTGAGACCGACACCTCCCCCGACCCCTCGGAGCCACCGACCGGCCGTCCCTCCACTGCTTCGGAGTTGACTGGGGAGCTAACATCGCTCTTCTCTGCGGTCACGTGCTCAGAACAGAGCACTGCAACAACCTCGATCAACCCGGCGACTCGGTCCACGAACACCGGTGGAGATGATGAGCCGAGCGATACGCGGGACACGGTTTTCGGAGCGTCCGACCGCTCAGAGTTTCCCGCCGTGTCGGTGCGCCCCCCGACGAGTATCTCGGATAACCTGGCACGCATTTTTGCCCGAGCCAGTGCCACTTTGCGTGACTCGATGGACTTGGATGGTGTGATGTTCTTGGATGCCTCTCGGAGCAATTCTGGAGTGTAAGTCTCGATCTTTCGACAGTGTTAGTATGAAATGCGATAAGCTAATGCAACGACAGGGTCCGTCCAGGTCATTCAGGCTCCTGGGAACCCCTTCCGACCACCGCCAACCCGGAGTTTCTCGCCGATCCGTATCCGAGCCCAGTGGATTTGCCTGGTGTAGGCTCGCTTTCCAAGGCTTCGGAGAGACCCTGCGATGTGTTAGGAGAGGCGCGCCATCCCTTGGCAGCCTCATCCGTTGACCCGAACCCAGTGACAGAAGATTTGTTAAATCGTCTCGTGGCCGCCTACCCGCATGGCCAGTTCATCAACCTTCACGACGAGATCGCCTCTGCCACGCCGTCGACACAATCCAATCCCGCCACGCCCTCGGAGGAGGCGTCCAATCCAGCCTCAGATGCACAACGGACGAACGTCGCAGCCCTGTGCCATGAATTGAGACAGTGTTTCCCCGACGCGTACTGCGTGCTCTTCTACCCGCTATGGGATTGGAACCGCGGCCGCTGGCTGGCGGGAACACTTGTCTGGACACAGGGCAGTGATCGCGCACTAGACATGGAAGAACTACATTACTTCAAGGTCTTCGGCGATTCTATCATATCCGAGGTGGCGCGGGTGGATTGGGCCACCATCCAGCGATCCAAGTCCGCCTTCATCTCCTCGGTGAGCCATGAATTACGGTCCCCATTGCATGGCATCTTAGCTAGCGCGGAACTGCTGCAAACGAGCCCGCTGGACCCCTCTCAATTGCATTGGATGAGTATGGTCCAGAGCTGCGGCTTGACTCTGCTTGATACATTGAACCATCTGTAAGTGGATCTTCACTCCCCGCCCCGCACACGTAACCATCGCACCGAGGACGCTACTGACGACTGCAGCCTTGATTTCGCTAAAATCAACAACTTGACCACTGGGGAAGAGAGCGCGGTCGACAAATCGTCTAATTCATCGCCAGTCAATCTAATGACCGTTTTCGACCTCGATGATTTGATCGAGGAAGTAACCGATGTGCAGTATACTGGTCAGCGCCTGGGTCGGACAATCAACCCGCTCACCCGCCGCCTCATGCATACGCCGTCCAATGCGGCGCTTAAGGATGGAGAGCTGACGGTGGTGGTGCGTGTGCAAGACCGACAGGCGTGGACGGTGCAATCCGTAGCCGGGGCTTGGCGGCGTATCGTCATGAATCTCCTTGGAAACTCCCTGAAATGGACCAAGGCGGGTTTCATTGAGGTATCACTTTCCAAGGCACGGCGTAAATCCGACCCCCAGTCGATCTTCGCTCATCTTACTGTTACCGACACCGGCCGTGGCATTGCTCCCGACTTTCTGAAGCACAAGTTGTTTTCCCCATTTGCGCAGGAAGATACTCTTTCGGAAGGTCTGGGGTTGGGTTTCAGCATTGTGCGGCAATTGGTCTCCTCCCTCGATGGCCACATTAATGTGCGCAGTGAATTGGGTATAGGGACCCAGGTGGATATTTACATCCCCGTTCGTCTTATGGCTTCAGGCAACGGGGGTGCAACACCAGGCGCAGGCATAGTATCACCACCTGTTGTGCCGACAGCCCCCATGAGATTCTCCCTTGTTGGCTTCGACAGCTATCCACATCCTCGCGACGTGCCGACTGGGATTTTACCAGCCGAAGCCAAGCGTAAGCTGGCGATTCGCAGCTCACTGACCTCGGTGCTGCTCAAACAGCCTGGTTGGACTCTGACCCAGGCCGAGTCGTTAGACGATGCACAGGGGGAAGTTGTCGTGATAGAGGAGGAAACCCTCAGCAAGGCTATGGCTGCCGGCAAGGTACAGCCAACAATGGGCGCTCCAGGCGGGTTCAGATTTTACCTCGTCTTGGACAGCAATCAGGATCTGATACGAGATACCATGGCACCGAACATGATTCGCGTATCACAACCGTAAGACTTGGCTGCTATCCCACCCGCGATTTTTCCACTAACATCCACCCAGGTTTGGACCTCGAAAATTTGACGAAGTGCTAAACCGCATCCTCCTTCTATTTTACGACTACATCAAGAACCCGACCCCGTGTCAAACCCCGCTGTCTCCCCCAACGCTGGACCCTACACTCTCTCCGACTCCTGATCTTTTCCAAAGCATGCCACCGGCGTCAACACCCCCACTCGATACCCATCAGTCGCCTTCTTCTTCCTTCGCACCCACAAAACCTCTGAAAGATGTACATGTACTCATCGTGGACGATAATGATATCAATCTTAAGGTGAGTATTGTGTTCCTTGCTGCCGTTCACTCGATGCTAACCGTCGCGGAAGATTCTTGCCACTTTCATTCGCAAGTTAGGCTGCAGCTACGACACGGCCTCCAACGGCCTGATCGCCCTTAATACCTACAAAGACGGCACTCGTCGCCACGATCTTGTTCTCATGGGTTAGTGTCTCCCCCTCTTTGCCCATTACCAGGCGACAGATGAGACTGACAGAAGCTTCAGATATCTCTATGCCTGTGATGGACGGCATCACCTCAACCGAGCAAATCCGTCAGTACGAAAAGCAAATGGGCCTCATCCCCACCCGCATCATCGCGGTTACCGGTCTCGGCTCGGCGGACCAGCAGCAAGAGGCGCTGGCCGCAGGAGTGGACGAGTACCTGGTCAAGCCCGTCTCCCTGAGCGGGCTGAAGAAAGTCATGAAGATTACCTAATCATTGGATATGATACACGATACCAGTATTCCCCCCCACAAGTCTAGATGTACACGGTCTAGAAAGCATTGTTTTTTGCAGCTCCCCGGGACATGAATGGCTGCGCTGGTAGCCTCCGGGACTGATCCGCTCACCTCCCTTGTCACATTATCCTTCATCTGTAGATAAGTGTGAAAGTATATATATATATATGTGTGTGTGTGTGTATAAAATGACAGTTACAGTTCAAAATGATGCAACTGAAATTAGTGTATAGTGGGTTTTATGTTGTGTGGAGAGTGGTTGCGTGGAACATGTCAACTGCGACCGAATATGGTCAAATGAGGTAGATTATGCGGTCACATGCTGAGATGGAACGTAATCATGCCTAGTGACTGAACGACAAGCAATGTTTCAATTAGATATATTTTACTGTCTATAGATGGATAGACCATGATGGCAAGGGACGAATCTCTCGCACCGATCGTCTACCTGACGAGTAACTAGATTCGCACTCGCCCAACAAGAGTGTTCAGGATTTACGTCTGAAAAGATCCTTGTTCCGGTGGTGTGAGTGGAGGATGCAGGACGCTGCGTTGCTGCTACGGCTGGTCGGAGGCCCGTGGAGAGTCATTCATGGATCGGGCATCGCTTTTAAGAGCTCGAATGACCCGCGATGCGTTCATGACACATGATGATCTAAGCAATACTGGCTGGGATATTACACCGGGCTATCGGTTATTTCTGTGGAGACACTGGTAGAAGGGTGCGAATGTCGCGAATTCTTCCCACTCAAGGACATGGTTGTCACGAACCGGAGGAGCGTTGAGCCGGCAAGGTAGCATCTCTCAACATCGCCAGCGATGTGCGATCCAGTCCCCAGCCACCCGCCCACTGATCCATTCGCAGGCCCTTCTTGAAATGGTCCGCCAGATGATCCGCCCGCTCGGTCCAACTCTGCATCTCCGCATCGCAGAACCCACACCGACTCGTCACGGCTGTACGAGTGGAGCGACACCCCTGGACCCTCGCTGCGGACACTTTTGTGCACCGGTGGAACTTCCGGAGATGCTGGATCAGGTGGTCTTTGCGCGCGAATGTTCGCTCGCTCGGCGGCCGATCCGCGCAGACGTCAAATTCGTGCGACTCTAGGTGCGCAGGCGAGGGCCGTGGAGTTTCGCAAAATTCACATTCCACTGGCTCGAGATTATAAGGCGTAGTGGTATCAACAGTGCAGAACCACGACTCAAGACAAAGGTGCATACTTGACTCATGGCGGCACCAGTCGTGCTTTTTCTTGAAGGATCGGGAGCAAAACGTGCATTGGTATTGGAGGTCGCCGAGTGAGTGGGTGGATGAGGGCCTGCGTCGAGAATAGTGTCGGCGTCGACGCTTATCGGACAGCGGGAATGGGAAATGATCATCCGAGTTGTAACTCCAGGCCGCTGAAGATGCCGTGTCGGACGATGCTTGGGATCGCGCACTCTCGAACTGTCCGCTTTCCACACTCGAGATTGAGTAGGCATGACCGTCACCGCGATGACTCGCCTCTACGCGCTCGTCTCGGCTGAAGTCACCTTCTGCTGCTGGGGGAAGGCTCGAAGTGGCGATAGCTTTCTGGATGACGGCTGGGGAGACTGAATCTTGGTCGGGGGGAGACTTCTGCCATCGCTCCATAGGCGTCAAAGACGCGTACCTCGAGATAGGCATGGGGGAACTGCCGCGAGGCGAGGGGGTGGCGGGGTTGGGTCGCGGCGTACGTAACGCCATCTTCCGGCGTCGGCGGGCATTGGCAAACCAATTTGAGATCTGTCGCTCGGTGAAGCCGGTCTGACTGGCGAACTCGGCGCGTTGTTCATCGGTCGGGTAGGGGGAGTGCTGATTGCGATTGAACCAGTCGCGCAGAACTTTGGCCCCCTTGCGCGAGAAGCGCGGCCTCACTTGCATCTCAGCCTGAAGAGCATTGTCCGTCTCCCTTGCGGATGCTTCGAATCCGGGCTCCGAGGGCCCAGTTCCTCCGCCGTGCTCTTCCGTGAGGCCGTGCAGATGACCGAGCACTGGGGAGATGGTTTCGAATCCTGCAGCCTGGCGCTTCTCGCCATGTGCGAGGCTGCACTCCCGGTAAAGCGCGACGCAACTGGAGCACGAGGTGACCGGGTTAGGATTCGCGGAAGTGGTGCGCAGGATAAGACATTGTAGTCGGTGGCGTTGGCAGTAGCTGCAAGGCACGGGGGGTCGATAGGCACCATCCAGCCACTGGGAGACACTGACAAAGTCATCATTGAGACGGGTTGAATGAACTGAGAGGGAAGGATCAGCTGCAAGTGAGTAGTCAAAGGACGCCAATGTATCGTGCTGCGAAAGATGGTCGGTGGAGAGGACGTCAGGTAGCTCCGTTTGCTGCAAAGGGTTGTCGAACGACGAGTGATCGATAGGAAGTGCGAAAGACGCTGCATTGTCTGACAGCGGCTCCCAGTCCAAGAAGCCATTACTGGTTTCTAGGGAAGGAGCGAGATTCCAGGACGAAGCGCCTGAGCCTGGTGACTGATCGAGAAAATGGTTGGTCTCATCGAGAAGGCTCTCGAAGGATGGAGACAGAAGCTGGTCATCGAACGGGAAGGGCTCATCCATCGCAGAATGCCAGGCGAGCAGATGGAGATTACATCTAGGAAAGTATCAGTCTCGATCGATAGGAACGAGACGCGACGAGGTTGAAATTCAATCAATTAAAGAAGAGGAGTGAGAGAGGAAGAGATAGAGAGAGAGAGAGAGAGAGAGAGAGAAGAGAAGGGTGAGTGGGTGCAGTCATCGAGGCCGAAAGGCAGATTAGGGCGGTGTAATACTCACCGCTTGCTGCAATTGGGCTTACATCAAATGCCCCGCCGTCGCCCCCGCCATGCAAAGCTGACTAATTCATCTGGCAGGCCTCAGGCAGCGGTTCAGAGTTGGCCATCAACTACTTACTTCTTCCACGTTCCTTCATGTAAACATGTAAACACACCAACTCCAATGCAACTGTCTACCTTCAAGGACTCATCCCTAAGTGATCTATGATACATTCAAGCTCATTGGCAAAATTCCCTACTCAACCTCTCAAGCATCTCTGTTAGCTGTCGCACACTGTTCACCTCTACCCATTCTTCTTTGGCATGCAATCCTTCGCCAGCCGGACCCAAGACAATACTAGGGATTCCGGCTTGTGTTAGAAGGGCAGCATCGCACCAAAATGGCACACTGACCACGGGGACAGGTTCTTCAAGAACCGTCTTGCTGATCTTAACCATTTGCTGCACAAGGGGGTGACTCTCAGGGAGGTACTGGCACGGCCGCGAGAAAGTGATACGAGGCTCGCTAAACTGGAATTCGGCGTTCTGCCTTTGGATCCGAGTGAGTAGGCCTCGCAGCTCATTCAGAATCATCTCCTCTGTCTGTGCGGGCACAGTCCGGAACTCGACGGTCAATGAACAGCTGGCGGGATATGAGGATACCTCATCCCCACCGTTGATCACTCCGCAGTGCAGCGATGCCTGACCAAGCACCTCGTCGACTGGTAACTGCTGCTGATACTGCTTTAAGGCCTGCAACAACAATCCCATGTTCATAATCGCATCAACACCGGCCGCAGGGTTCGAGCCATGCGCTGCGCGTCCTTGGACGTCCAGCTCTACCCATACAAATCCCTTATGGGCATGTGCTAGCCTGAGGTTAGTGGGCTCCAGCACCACCGCCCCGTCGGCTCTCCATCCAGCTTCGATCACATCCATCGTGCCTTGCGAGGCATCCTCCTCATCTGCCACGGCAGTGACGATCACGTCTCCGGCAAGCCTCGATCGCTGAGCGCTCGCCAATGCAGACAGTCCTGCGGCGACTCCGGCTTTCATGTCAAGCGTCCCCCGACCGAAGATCGCCTGTTTGCCATCCTTCTCGCCAAGATGCCCACTCAGTCCGTTTCCTTCATACGTGCTCAAGGTCACGGTATCCACGTGGCCGTTGAACATCAGAGACTTCCCCCCTCCGGTTCCCCTGACGACGCCGACCACAGAAGGACGGCTGGGCTTGGTTTCCACGCGATGATGCTCGATGCCACGATGCGCAAACCATGCCGACAGGTAGTTGACGATATCTGTCTCGCCTGCTCCCTTGGCCTTGGACAATGTTGGGTTGGAGGAGTCAATTCGTGTAAGGGTCTGGGTCAACACAATCGGGTCATCTGACGAGACATCTTCCGGGACCTGGTATGGACGACGACCCTCAGTGCTCAGCAATACAATCACCGAGTCCGGAGAAAAGTACGTGGGAGAATCGTGCTCTGCTTTGAGACGCCGAATAGCTGCTAAACTGGCCGCCCCGCATGGACCCGAGTCTACCCCGTTTGATGCAAGGTACTGGACGGCGCAGTGGCTCTCATAATCCGAAATTGTGACACTGGCATCGACAAGTTTCTGCAGAACCGGCCAGGCGGCGGAGGACACAGTGCCGCAGTTCATGCCGGCCATGATACTGGGACTAGTGACGATCGAGGTCGACTCGCCTGTTTTGAGGCTCAGGTTCAGACAAGCAGCAGTGTCCGGCTCGACAGCCACAAAAGTCGCTGGGCTTGTGCGCGACTTGGAATAAATCGCGACCGCTTGAGCCAGCGATCCGACGCCCGCAGGCGAAATGACCAGGGTATTTTGCTGACCCCGCGCCTGTAGCTGCACATCTACCTCGTGCATCAACGTGGAGTAGCCCTCCACAATCCAGGCAGGGATCTCCTCATAGCCTTCAAAAGCCGTGTCTTGTACTAGGATTGCGTTTTCCGTCGCTTGCGATGCCTTGGCGGCCTCCAGCACGGCATAGTCATAGTCCCCATCGGCTACGATAACATCCGCACCCTCCGACCGGATCATTTCCTGGGTGTACGCGACCATCGTGCGAGGGACATAGATGCGTGCGTGGAGAGATAGTTGACGAGCCACCCAGGCCACTGCGCGACCGTGGTTTCCCTCCGTGGCGGCCATCAACGTGAAAGGCTCACCCGCCCGGATGCGCTCCGTGAGGGTTTTTAAGGAGGTCTCAAGAGGGAGGTCGAGGAGTGCCAGAAGCGCCCGGTAAATGGCCCATGAGGCTCCCAAAACTTTGAAGGAGGGTAGGCCATAACGATTGTTTTCTTGTTTGACATACACTGCACGGACGCCGAGTGCCTGCGCGACTTCGGGCAAGGGCACCAGAGGACTGGCCTGGTATCCAGGGAACTGCTCATGAAAAGCCCGGACCTGGGCCGCGGGCGGCGACACTATCGTCGAAGGAGCAGAATTGATGTAGATGGATCGCCGTTGAGGTGCCATGTTGATAAAGTGCACTTGTTGCAGTTAGGTTGATGCGAGGCGGCGGTTGTTGGCTTTCTAATAAATGCTTCGGCCCGGCTGGCGGTTACTCTGCGCCTTTTGACAACATGTGCATCTCGGCATTGAATGCTTCTCCTTCGGCTCCATTGAAAAAAGGCCACTCTTCATTTTTTTTTCTGTGTTTTGTTCCAGTTGTTTTTCTCTTTCTGCCCTCTCAATCTCCACAATTTGTGTGGGTATGTGGAGGAGAAGCGGATTGTCGCAAGAAGGCGCCGGTCGCGGGAAGGCGCAATTGTTCTACGGTCGGCGACCAGCTTCCAATATTTGAAGCCATCCAGCCTCCACCAACCTCACCATCGAATTGACCATTATCGGCGCTGTCATTTGAAATCCTATCCGCCGTCGCTCAGAGCCAACACAATCATGTTCAAGCCCTCATTTTCTCGGGGGTTGACCGCGACGAGCTTCCGGCGGCAGCTGTCTTCGCACGCCGGTTCCGGCTTGAAGATCAATTCCGATCGCCTGCTGGAAACTCTCCATCACACCTGCCAATGGGGCGCAGCTCATCGATATGGCGAGTGAGTATTATAACAGACTTTTCGACTTGTCGAGTATGAGCATCTCTGACACAGTGATAGCGGCCCCACGGAAACCGGCATGAACCGACTATGCCTGACAGATGACGACGCCCGAGTCCGCCGGTGGCTGCTGGACGAAGCCGAGAAGCTTGGCTGCACCATCACCATCGACCAGATGGGCAACATGTTCGCACGACAACGTGGGGCTCTCAACTCCTCGGCGCCCATGACAGCAATGGGCAGTCACCTCGACACGCAACCGCGCGGGGGTCGGTACGACGGCATTCTGGGCGTCATCGCCGCGTTAGAGGTGCTGCGCACGATGAAAGACCACGGCTACCAGACCCAATTAGACGTCGGACTGGTGAACTGGACCAAGTGAGTACAGCACAGCACACCAATCGATGCCGCTCCCCACACCATGACTAGATCTAACGCATCACAGCGAGGAGGGGGCCCGATTCCCGAAATCCATGTGCTCCTCCGGCGTCTGGGCCGGCGAGATCCCCATCCAAAACGCCTGGAAACTGGCGGATATCTTCGACCCCGCCGTGACACTACGCTCCGAGCTGGAGCGCCACGGTTTCCTGGGCGACACCCCCTGTTCGCCCAGGGGCTACCCACTCGGGGCGCACTTCGAGCTGCACATCGAACAGGGCCCCATTCTGGAGGAAGCCAACCGGAAGATCGGCGCCGTGACCGGAGCGCAGGGATATCGGTGGCTGACGATCAAGGTGGCCGGCCGCGACGCACACACGGGCACGACGCCGCTCAGCGCGCGGCGCGACCCGGTCCTCGCGGCGGCGAAGATGATCGCGGCGTCGAACACCGTGGCCCGGCGACACGGGGCACTCGCGTCGACAGGGGTGCTGAAGCTGCCGCCGACCTCGTCCACGAACACCGTCGCCGCGGAGGTGACCTTCACGCTGGACATCCGGCACCCGCGCGACCGCGTCGTGCACGCCGTGCAGGACGAATGTCTGGCCGCCTTCAACGAGATCGCCCGCGAGGACGGCAAGGGCGTCGCCTTCGAGTGGACACTGGATACCGATTCGCCCGCCGTGCAGTTCGATGCCAACTGCCTGACGGCCGTCAAGGAGGCGGCGACGCAGCTCGTCGGCGCCGACGGCTGGCTGGAGATCACCAGCGGCGCGGGCCATGACAGCGTCTACACGAGCCGACACTGCCCCACGGCCATGATCTTCGTGCCCTGTAAGGAGGGCGTCAGCCATCATCCGGAGGAGTACTGCAAACCTGAGGACTGGTAAGTGCTGGTTGCTGAGAATCTTCTGTGTTTCGGTCAGGTCGGACTTAGCTGATACCCTGCAGTGCCCTGGGAACGCAAACGCTGCTGGAGTCAGTCGTGAACTACGATCGCATGAGGAGCAAGCTCGACTAGACCGCCAACTTGGGAGATAAATAGAACTGGTCAACTCGCCCTGATCCCCACCCAATGTGGGTGGTCAAGCTACGGCGCACCTTCGCAGGCTTGAGAATCAATCGACCAGCCCGTCGGACTTTGGTACGCAACTCGGGGGCCATGCAATATCTGCCACCCAGTCATCGTATCAGGATACTGGGCAGGCAGAATCAAGAAGAGTAAGAGACGGTCAAAGGGGCACGGCCAACTGATAAGCAATGGTGTCACATACATAAGCAACTAGCCACTCGGCCCTACGGAGCACATATTACAACCGATGGTGAAATTACTGACTCTGCCCCCGGTTCCAAGTCTCCGATAACGTGTTCAATACCAGGAAAGACAGCCAGTTTCTCGTCACGAGGGTTCTTGTAAATACCCAATCGTAAATTATGATTATGCTAATTAAGACCAGAACCGTATAGATGGCCCGTATTTACAAATCTCCACAACTAAAGCAAGTGCAATCATGAGATCCATCCACCTTGATGCAATGCAATGCAACGCAACACAAAAAAAACCACCTAAGCGAGGGACTGCGTGCTAGTCGAACTGAACCTCTCAAAGCGTTTGCCGCGAGTCCGCCGGGAACCGCCCATCCACGGGGGCGTGGGCGGGAGCAGGGCATCTCCGACCTGTTCGACGGTCACGCGGCCCTTGGTGTCCTTGAAGAAGCCACTAGACGAGCCGCTCATCGAGGCCGGGCCGTGCGCGAAGTAGCTGAGACTCTGGTACTTGCCCAGCCACAGCATCTGCTCGTGTTCGCGGAGGTACCGATGGCTGGAGAAGCTGGCCAGGACGTTGTCGCGGCCCTGCATGCCGAACTGGCGGCGCTCCTCCTGCTTAGCGTACATGCGCTGCGAGATCGCCTGCACCTCCTCGGGGGACGGGCGCAGGCCCAGCGTCGGGGGCACAAAGCCCTCCGGGTCGCCGGCGAATTGGCTCCATTCACCGAGGAGGGCCATCACGCGGATCTGGGCGGACGCCAGGGAGAAGGCGTCGTTCGGGGGGACGACCTCGCTGAACCGTTTGCCGGTCTCGCGGTTGACGACCACACAGAACGACGCGCCGACGTCGGTACACACCACGGGCGCGCCGGTGAGGGCGGCTTCACCCATGGCGAGCGGTAGACCTTCTGAGGTCGACGAGTTCATGAACAGCCACTGGGGCGGACGGTTAGTGATGTTGTTGGGGCTAAAAGGTTTACGCGAAAGGGAAAATACTCACAGCATCCTGTAACACCACATCCGGCTTGCCCAGACCCTTCAACACGACGTGGTCGCGCAGGGACTTCGATGCGATGACTTCTTGACATTCCGAGGCGTAGCCTGGCGCACGCTCCATATCTCCGTAGATGTGCAGGCGATAGTCCTTGAAGCCCCATTGGTTGACAATCAAGTCCGTGGCCATGATGGCCGTCTTGATATCCTTGACGTAACTGCGTGTCGCGTTAACATGATCCCCTCCAATATTAGTGCCAGACCCGTGGAAGGGAGACTTACCGAATATGCGACAACATGACCACAGTGGGTGTCTCCGTCTTGATCTTCTCGATCGGCTTGTACCTCTCCATGTTCGTGATACCGTTGACCACCGGATCGATCTTGCGTGCAAAGGCCCGGCGATGCTCCAAGACACCCTCACACGTTCCCAGTTCGATCTCCCATCCAGGGTTGAAGTACTCGGCGCAAGGGAGGACAACGTCCGCATGGTGTTCGATGAGAACGCAGGACAGATGGCCGAGAGAGATGAGGGTGGAATTGACAAAGGTGGAGTCGAATGACACGGCCGCGGAGAGGAAGGTAGTCATCTCACGGAAACTGACGCAGTGATCCCAAACATGGAGTGCACACTTGCGCTTGACCTTGCAGAGCACACCGTAGTTGGCACCCGTGAAATGGTGCGATGCTTGGAACACGTCCGGAATGCGGTCGGGGACAGGGACGGAGAAGATGAAGAGATCTAGAAGATGGTTAGTGATCTGTGCGTTGGAAGACAGCCAGAAGGTTACTTACAGCGATGCCACATGTCGAGAGCTGTATCCAGCTGTTGTAGAGTCGGCAACTCGGCATGCCACCATTCGGAGACAGGAATAGCGCCGTCCATTTCCTCAGTCAGCCAAAGCTCGCGCCAAGCGCGCTTGACGGTGTCACTCATCCAGACATCGTTCCAGTTGCGCGAAGATTCAAAGTACGTGTTCAGGTCAACCAAGGCTTTGGTGGCTTCTTCAACATGCGCACGTGTCTTGTTGATTGTCCGGGCACAACGAACCAGGCTGGCGAGAATAGGAATGAAGTTGCGCTCGATGTCCGCAACCTTGGTGTCATGGATCTTCTGGACCACTTCTGAATCAAGGTAGTTCTGGAACATGCCGTGCGTCGGGTTCAAGAAGTCAAGACCCCATTGCGGCAAGACCGTCAGGGACTGCACGTTTCGCTCGATCTGGAACCTCGGCACACCAAAGTCGTTGGCGGCTTCGGCAAGAATGTGCCAGCGAATTCCCTTCAAGTCGTTGACCATATCTCGCCTACAGGCGGAAACACCACCTGGCTCATTGGGCCATGTACCGGTGTCCATGGCGAGAACATGAAGCTCCGTGTCCGTGTCCTGCATCTGCGTTGATAGAGTTCGGGTGTTGATACGAGATTCTCCGCCCACGCCGAAACTCGACAGATCCGCAATCTTGAAGGCGATCGGCGTCCACGAGCTGATCTCCGGGTCAATATCTACACGCGCCAGCACCGTATCGGCCCGTGCCTCAAGGTAGTCGCCGGCCACTTCCAGCCGACCCCAGTCACGGTTGCGCCAGTAGGGCTTGAGGACACGATCGGCACGCAACAGGATCTCATCCAGCCATCGCGCGGTGATAGCATCGAATTCTTTGCTCGCTTTCCAGGATTTCCAGAGATGTGTACGAGCGCGCGAGGTAGGGATGGGATACTTCTTGACGTTAGTTCCGAGCAGACGCGAGGCGAGGTTCACCTTCACGGAGGAGAAGGAGAGAAGCGGGTTGTCGTCCACGAAGCTGCACCTGGTTGGTTTCTCTAGAACATGGAACCAGTCCTCTTGAATCATGGCCGGGGTAACAACATCCTCCCCGTTCATCGTTGTAGCAATTATAGGGTGGAACTTGTGATCATACGTCCATGTAGCTCTATGCTTGTCGTCGCCTTGGACGTAGGTGGCATCTGTGACGCGAGGGTACGGGATCCATTTATCCAGCCGTTCAGGACGATTAGGCGGCGGCATACACCAGGCAACCTTGATCTTCATGTGTGGCAACTCATACTCAGCGCGCAGCAGTTCGTCGTCAAATTTGGCTCCCTTGCGGTAGTAGAACTTGAACTCCATCGCGTTGACCCCACGCATGGCAGATCCGGAAGTGATATATCCACGCTTGTCGTATTGGACGATCTGGCCTTCCAGTTTGCCTTGGGTACACTGCCGCTGAATAGGCAATTTGGAGCGTGACTTAGATCCGTCCTGAGCATACTCATATTTGAATTCGTTGATCAGGTCCTGACCACGATACTCTTGTCGTCCCAGAAGCAACAGCTTGGCGTTGTACTCGTTGATGGCAACCAGGCTCTTGTAGTCACTGGGTTCCTGGTCGTGCTTTCCCGTGTATTGATAGAGTTTGAACGTGCCGTCTGATTCGGTCCGGAAGAAGCCTGTAGAAACGCCGCTGAGGCCTTCCATTTCCACACGATTGTGATAGATCACAGTCTTCCAACCTTGCATGTTTCGATACAGGGTGGAGACCTTATCACGACCATGCACCTATTGAATGTTAGCATCATAACTGAACCCTCTTGTGGGACAAGATGAATTTGTCTTACCAGGACGAGTGGAATGATGATGCGCTGCAGCATCTTACAGAATTGCCACACAGCAGTGAGAATGACAGTCACCGGCCAGGCGAAGAACAGGGGCTGTCCTCGAAGCATGAAATCAAGCTCTCGTTGGTACTCGGGATCAGCAACCAAAGCGATAACCATGAACTTGATGCATGCGTTCCAGATTTGCTTCGTCCGAGCAAGTGACATGCGGAAAGCCTCGCCCATCCCCACATTCGACTCTTCCGCATTCAGCGCGAGGATGTCCCGGATGGGCCTGTCGTAACTGTTGCTGAGGAAGCCTTCTTGTTCAAGACCCCGGTGTTGGGCCTCCAGTGTCTTTGCATATCTTTTGACAGAAGTTGTCATTGTGACACCCAGGTTCCAGCGAGCAAGATACTCCTCAAGTCGAAGTGTTTCTGCAGCAGTCGCTCTGGACTCGAGCCAATCGAGCTGCTGGGAAGAAACGCGACACGGCTCTCCCAAGCACCTGCGAAGCAGGAACGATCGAGCATACTGAGGCAACAGATCCCATTCGATATCACAGTCAACGCCAAGCAGCAAGTGACGGAGAATCGTCTTGGAAGAGTAGTTCAGCACGCGAGTTCGTTCCACAGAACTATTCTCGAGCTGACGCTTGACACCTTCGGGAAGGACCAATTCGTGGCCAGCGTGCCCATGTACAGCCAGAAGCTCAGCAAACATTGCGTGATCATGAGACATACCAAGACGGAACTCGGCAGTCATCTGAACGATAGCCTCCGCAATAGCCTGGCAGTTGCGTCGGATATCCGAGACCCAGTCATAGCCGACAAGGTCGGGACCGACAACAACATAAATGTGGAGACGCTCGCTGGTACGACGACAGACAACACGAACCTTCTGCTCAGGCTGGATCAAGTGGGCAGCCGAGACTAACTCCACTGTCGTCTCTCCGCTCTCCCAAAGCTGTGCTGCGTGGTTCATAATATTTGTTGCAGCGGGGAATGCAGCCCGGACAAGATCGGCTTTGGGGTCTTCAGAGCGCAGAATCTGCATAACCTCTACACCTGGATGAGTTGACGGGTCAAGCTTGTACCGGAATTCGTCCGAAAGTAAAGTGATGTTGTCAAACATTTGAGAAAGTGTGGACTGCGACAGGTCAGGGAAAGGTTCGAGGGAGCTGAAGCCGTAGGTGACTGAAGTGTCCTTGATCTTGACAACACTCTTCTCCTCGGGAGAACTCTTGAACAGCGACAAGCCAATATCGGCTTTGTAGAGTGTGTAGAATGCACAGGCCCACGTTCCACTGCCCAGCCCGATAACACTGCTGTATTGGAAAGCAGGGAGGACCTCATGAAGGATGATGCCAACGACTAAGCCGATCAGGGCGCTGATAGCTAGCCCTCGGGCTACATGAGGTCCGCTGAAGATCCGGTTGTATTGGTACCAGAGAAGACCACTGTAGCAGCCAACATAGGCCAGGAACATTATGACCGAGATTTTGGCAGTTTCAAATGTCCACATGATGGCCAGCGTGATCGCTACACCCCAAATGTGGAGGAAGAAAAACTTCATCAGGTTCTTCCAATACAACCTCCGACGTGCGTTAGCATCAGTGAGGGACACCTCACGTAGACCAGCGAGCGAAGAGACGGGCTGGGGCGTGCGCTTGGTGACCGATATCCAGAGAGGCTGAGAGACCGCGTCAAGAATGACTGCACCTAGCAAGTAGTAGCCGAGCGCAAAACCAACAGTGAGTCGATATGTAGCGCTGTTTGCTGCGGACAATCCCACGATGGATTCGCCCGTCAAGAGAGCACTCCACTTGTCGGAAAGGGCAACCACAAAGTACAGGATACCACACCAGACGTCTGCACCCGTATGACGCCAGTGTAGAAAGGCGCTATGGAGCTTGAGACCTTTCTGCATCTCGCCCATAGTGTCGACTGCAGCTCTCAATTGCAAGTTCCATGTTGGGCTGTAGGGCAGGGGCATTTTCGTCCGAGAGTAGCGGCAGTACCAGCCGAGAAGAAAGACGGTCGCTGAGTAGCCGCCAGCGAGCTTTGCGACAAACGGATCGGTTGTCTTCCGGGTCCAGAAGTGGCGGTGTCGCTCTTTCTTGACGCGAGCATATAAGGCCTGGCGTGCATCCGATCCGAAGTCTTTGACCTTCTCGTTCTGACTCTCGCTGGGGGGGACGCATTTTTGCAGGTACCATTCGACGATTTGGGTGTCGGTCACTGTGGGGATGTTGAGATACCAGCTGTTCCATTCACCCATGATGCGCCGCGCGCCAACCAGCAACGAGCCTAGGAACAGGAAAAGGAAGCAGAGATAGATGACCGAATCGTGATGCACCCACAAAGTGACGATGGGTGAAATGAACAGGATCGGAATACACGTCATGATCACAGTTCGTCCCTGGAAATGTTAGGCACAGTCGTCATCATTCTCGGCTTGATGAGAACTTACCGATTGGAAGGAATAGCCTGGAAGCTGGTAGACTGAGAGGGCGGAAAGAGTCATAAGATACGTTGAAAGCATCACGAAGTATAGGAAGAACAGAATTCCAGCTGCACCTCCCTTAACCACACCGACAACGATAAGTGCGATGATGCCTCCAACCAGAGCGACCGCAAGACCAGCAACGAACCGGGTCAAGACGAACATGCTCATGGCAGGGAAGGCCATCGCGTAGAGATAGTAGCTACCCCCAGAGCTGATCCAACTGCCGAAGCCACCACAGACAAGCAGGGCGCACATCAGGGCGGTGGTGGCGAGCGTCTTGTCCACGTCGCTCATGTACGTGGTAAGGTAAAGACCACGGCCGACAGTGGTGAGCATTGTGACATCAATAAGCGCGGGAACGGCAAAAATACCCAAGAAGGTGAACCTATAATGCCAGGGAATCTTATTTCGGTCGCCTTTGGGATCAAGATCGACATTCATGGAAGCGTATGCTGTGGGGAGCTCTGTAAAGCCTTCCTCCCGTTGGGGTGGTTGGTACTTGTGATAATATGCCCGGTACCATTTCCAGATAATCTTTCCCAGTCGCTTAGGAGTCGTGTCGAAGTACATGTCAGTGCGCGCACCACAGGCATACATCTCGGTAAAACACGAGGCCTGTACTGCATCCTGATTCGGCAGGGGATTCCGGTCCAGAACTTCCAAGTAGATCTCATTCAATGCCAGGCGACGGAAGGCGCAGAAGATACAAAGGGCGAAGAAGTCCGCACTCGCATCAATCTGACCTTTCTGGAGAGTGGTCTGCGCCACATCCTGAAGCCTTGCTAGGATATCCGCCTCGTTGTCAACCAAGACTTCAGGCAACCGAGCATCGATCTCCAGGAACAGTGCCGTGGCGACCTCGGGATCCAGAGACCAGCATCCTTGTTCCTGATACCATGCCAACCGAGAGGCGACGAGTTCTGCAGCGGAAATCTCCTCATCGAGGTACGCGCTGGAGGTCAAGGCTCGGCGCTGGGCGTGAGAAGGCGCGTCCACGAGCTGGTACTCACTACAGGCTCGCAGCTTCGCGCAGAGCATGGAAGAGCCACTGCCCTCAGATGCAGCCAAGCGCCGATGCCAAGCAAGATTTTCAGCGGGGGTGAGCTGTTCGATGTCTTCGACCCACCGTTGAGGCATACTCCAGTCCTTGGACAGAGACTGGTTCTCAGCGGCCAAGACCATTTCCATAATCAGACACTGAGTGCGGCTGAATCCGCGACCGGAGAGATAGGCGTGCAAAATGGTTCCAGTGCGGTCCAGCGTCTTGCCGTTGACATAAAGGTTCAGCATACCAATGTGGGGATCGAGATCGAGCAAACCCCAGACTTGAGTGCCCAGACGCGTGCGGAAGCCAGAGTGCAGCCCAACGTAGACTCGGAGGCGGTCATTGTCATCCCCTTTGCTGACACTCAGGAGGTCAACAAGCTCTTGAGTGGCGGCGATGGCATCGGAGAGGTCGGGATAGGTGACCTGTGCGTTCTGGAGAGTGCGGATTGAAGCGGCGAAACCCCGAAGCTGTTCCGGCTTGAGGCGTTCGAGCAGGTCCAAGTCTCGCAGATGGCGCTGGGTTTCGAGAACATCGGTGATGTTTTGTGAGGTACAGTCCAAGCCGAGATGAAAACATCCGAGTTCCGAGTAGGTGGCGCCATCGGGGGAAAACGACAGAGGATCGATGTGAGGATTTTCGTCGGCAACCCTGCATTCAAGACCATTGACGGACAAACCAGGACTTGGAAGAGTAAGACTGGTAGTTGAGGGGGGCTGCAGAGACAATTTGGTGTTGAGATCGGGAATGAAGGAATCGAGGGCGTCGAAGAGAGGAGATGCTGCGTTGGTTGAGGAGATGGAGATTCGGTTGTTGTTGCGCCACACGTCGTGTGCTTCGAGCACCTCGCCGCGCTTCAGCCACATCATCGCCCCGAGAGGTTCATGCAGAACCGTTTCAGCCACGGCAATCTCCGCGTTGGTCAATCCTGCCCGAGGTCCGATGTAGATCATTGCACTGTTGTAGTTGCACCATTTGAACGTGCGCCCAATGACATGGTGCGACACTGTCACTCCATCATCGACACTGTCCCACATCGCTAGAGTCGAATCTCCCCGAGCCTTTTGCGCCGCCACCACACGCATCGCAGCCCGCATCTCCGCCATCTGGAAGTAGTTGCGTCGGTCTCCATCTGGTAGGATGGTGCCGTTGCGATAGACAATTCCCCGCACCTGCTGCATGTTGATCTCGCGGCATTGCTTCTCCCCAAGATAATCTGGCGGGGCCAGCTCGAGCCAGACGTCTAGTCCCAGGTCATTGATATACTTGATGAGCTCGTTCAGAACGACGGGCTGGAAGTGGGCGTGGAACTCGGCTAGGAGCACGCCGTGGAAAGGAGCAGTTGATCCTCCCGGTTGGCGCTGGAATTTCGTTGTCAGGGTCTGCACCACCGTGGTCAGAGCTTGGATAACTTCGTCGTTGCTGCGACTCGCATCCGATTGCACCAGTCTTTGTACTTCGAGCCGGCCGAGAACATGTGGAGAGGTGCAGTGGCCGGTGAGAGCATTCGCGACTCCCGGTTGAAGGGGGTCGACGACAAGAACATCCCATTGCGAAAGTAGTTGTGCCTCCGCTGGAGTAGGTGGGTTCGAAAAATCCCCCAGGAACACACCGAAAGATTTGAGGTCGCGTTTGGCCGATTTCTCGGACAAGGGTGAAGAAGACTTTCCAGTCTTCAGCTGATCGAAGTAGCGTACAATGGCACTTGGGACCTCGGAGAGTTGATGACGTTTCTGAGGAAAGATGAGCAGGGTGGCTTGGCATCAGTGTATTAGAAGATTGCGAAGAAACACATACCTGCCAAATCCCATGGAGCTTTAACACAATGTAACCCAGAATAAAGAGTGAACCAAGAACGATCGTGGCTAGTAAGCAGAATGCTAGGACCTGCGCAAACAACGTTAGGGAAGAGATTCAAGGGCTCGTCGCGACCATCTGAGCAACCACGCACCTTATCCCACCAGGTCGATGTCATGCGATTCCATCCTACGGCATCGAGGCCCAGGTACTCGGGACCTGCCATGGTGATAGGAACAGCGTCAAGTGCCTGACATAAACCCTTTCCTCACCACAAGGGGGGCACCGTGGACTATTATCTGCGGCGACTCTAGATGGAGGCCGATTAAAACGAATGTAACGACTACAGCCCACGTATCCCACTCGCGATGTACCAGGGGAGGAGTGTCAGCCTCTCTAATACTTTTAATTTACCCTATTTATAGCAGGTACATGGCTATCTATCTATGGCGGCGGCGTGCCCGCAACAAGAAGGATCTAAAGGCTGGCTTGTTTGAATCAATGAATGTAAGCTGTAGTGTACTGTAATATTGTCTGGATCTTATTTTCATTTTTAGGGTCTGTTTTTTTGTTTTTTTGTTTTTTTTTTTTTTTTTTTTTTTTCTTGGTTCCCCGTTTAAATGATTATTATTATTATTATTATTTTGGAGAGTGATCCAATTTGCTACTCCATCTGGTTCGGGAGACCCAGTTTTCTTCTCTCCCACTCCCAGGACGTGCTGCCAACAAATCTCCTCCAGCGCCAGGCTAACTAGTAGTGGCCCCAAAAGAACGCTAGCAATAGGTGGACTGCATGTCTGACTCGACCAGAGATTACGGGTCTCTTATCATCCTTCTTGCGTGCCGGTGTCACGTCGTTGAACCTAAGAATACTAGCCACTGCGATCGAGCGATGGCGATGGGATGTCTCAGTCGAATGTTTGGATGCCATGGCCGCCAACGCCGCACAGGTAACGCCGAGCACCATCGCATTCTCGTCGACAAAAGATTTCTTCCGCCATTCTGAGGTCGGAAGCTAGGCTAGCCCTCTCACGAACGGGTCTGGATTTGGATTCCACCGTTATTATAACCTGCGCAGCGTGCCTGCCATCTCTCCCAACCCCCAAGAAAACTACACCTACGAACCCCGAAGCCAATCCAATCTCCTTTCTGCTCCCTGAAAGACTACCGGTACTCCGTACTTCCGTTTCGTTTCCCCACGTTTCTGGCTAGCTGGTGCATGGATGCCTCGCCCAAATCTTAATCGCCCGCGGCGGCCCTGGTGCATTGCCATTGCCATTGCGGTGGCCGTAGTGGTGATCGTGGTCATTGTGGTGCCATGTGCCGTCATTTTGACCCGGAAGAAGCATCACGCAAAGCAGACCAACGTGCTGTACCCTTTGTACATCTACCCTACCAACAGCAGCACCTGGAGTCCCTTATACAAGGAGTGAGTTGTGGCCTGTCTGCTTCTTTCTTTTTTTTCTTCCCTCTCTTCTAGACCCTAGACCCTCATTGACCCTCCGCCCCAGAATCACTGAACGCCCCGATCTAAATTTCACGGTGATCATCAATCCATCAAGTGGACCGGGAAACACAACGTATCCGGATGAAGCGTATAGCACCGAGGTCGAACGCCTCGCGAGCTACGCGAACGTTCGCCGGGTGGGATATGTGCGCACTGGATACGCGACCCGCAACATCTCCTCGGTGTTAGCCGATGTATCAACCTATGCGGGGTGGGCGAACCAGTCGGCTGAATTAGCTATGGATGGGATTTTCTTTGATGAAGCGCCCTACGTTTACTCGGCGGACAAGGTCGAGTATATGAACACCATCAACGCGGTGGTGAAGAATTCCACGGGGCTGCAAGGGGAACGAATGGTAAGAAGAAGAAATCCAGGCACGAGGGGTGAGGGGTTTGGGGATCGATGGAACCAAGATTTTGGTTTCTATTTTTCCAATTTTCTTTTTTTTTTCTCTGGGACAGATCCAGCGGCTAACGTCCCACACCCTGGGTTTTTCTCAGGTTATCCACAATCCCGGCACCATTCCGGATAGTCGGTATAACGCCAACACAACCGACGTCACTGTGGTATTTGAGAGCTCGTACGATGATTACCACACCCAGAAAGGCAAGCTCAATGCGCTGGCGTCCGACCGTACCGGGTACAGCTACATGCTGCATTCAGTCCCCGAGATGGGGAACAGTACTCTGCGGAGCCTGGTGGACCAATTGAGTCTGAAAGCCGAGTACTTGTTCCTGACGACGTTGACGGAAGATTACTACGAGAGTTTTGACCCAGCGGGGCCCACGATTATCGACCTGATGCCGAGTTAATCGATAGATCCAAGCAATCACGCACTGAGCAGCGTGTGTGTGAGAGAATGTGAGTCTGTGAGAGAGCGAATTGTGTGTCGATCGACCCACGAGTAGGCCGGCGGCCCTAGGCGAGCCCCACCACAGCCTTGGGAAGACGACGAGACGGGAAGCGTCGTCACTAATGATGATTGGCGAGAGATATGGTGGACAGGGGGGTAAGAAAAGCTTGGATGCAATTGAATTGGTCAGTCGAAGTGGTTAATGGGGGGGCTGAGTGAGTAGGTCAGTAGATAGTTAGGTGGTGGGTTGGCAGGTTCTGGCCCAAGGCACGACAGGAACGGAATCAACGGAATCGACGGAAAACATGATAGCGTTGCGGACTATGAGGACTAAGCGCACTAAAGGCGCACTAGAGGCGCACTAGAGGCGCAGTAGCACGGTCCTCTTCAATGTTTTACTCACTAATAATCTCATTCTCATGTCTTGTCATCGTCATGGTTTTTCTGGTGGCTGCCTGGGAGTTGAGTGCCGAGTCTTGGCTGACAGGTAGGCTGAAAGCTTTTCACAAGCCTCCCAAGGTTCTCTTTTCCTCAACCACGTTGTCTCTCTACCTCCCATCCTTGAATGACTTAAGAAAATTCTCCTAATCTCCTATTTTCCTAATCTCCTACTCCGTACTGTACCTCACTGGCGGCAGTCTGTCTCTCCTTCCTTTCTCGTAATCGCGTTCCCTGGAAGTTTAATAATCGTCCTAGTTATAAGAAGCTGAACCAGGAACACTGACAAATAAACCTGGTTTATCACGGCATCATCATCATTATCTTCCCCTCCCATTCCCGCCAATTCTGATTACTCCTCTGTTCCTGTACCTGCACCTTATCCTGCACCGTCTTCTCTCCCGCTCTTACGCTCTCTGCCAACCATGTCATCCACCCCCCTTCCCAAAGCTAGCGTGCTGGTACCTTTGTATATCTATCCATTGCCTAATGACTGGGATCCACTTTTTGACGCGTAAAGTTCTCCGTTTTCCTTTCCTTTTTTTTTTGCCCTTGATTCTTTTTTTTTCTCATGTTTTTGGCTTTGATGACACCCTTCGCCTAAACACCGCGGCCCCATCCCAAAGGATTAGGTTTTCCTTGGTTGTATTTTCGCTGTTCTCTTGGTTCCTGCATCATCGGGACTGGAATTCATTTTCTCCGCCAAGGTTGAGTGTTCTTTGGATGATTTACCCACTCTAACTTAACCATCGATCACCACTAGGATTGAGACCCATCCCGATGTGGAATTTCTGGTGATCATCAACCCCAACAGTGGCCCCGGGGACATACCTTCTCCCGATCCGAATTATGCACGCGAAGTGGCCCGTCTGAACAGCTATCCGAATGTTTACCTGATCGGTTACATCCGTATTGACTATTGCCGAAAGCCTTTGCCCGAGACCTTGGCGGAAATCGATCGCTATGCGCACTGGGCGACCGACGAGCGCCCAGGACTAGGGCTCGGGGGCATTATGGTCGACGAGACTCCCAACCATCATACTGCCGAGCGAGCCGAGTATCTACAGAAACTGCACGAGTATGTCAAATCCGTGGAGGGCATTCTTCGGGATCGATTGGTAAGCATCTCATCTCACTGCATTCTCCGCTGTCCCCTCCGTACTGTACTCGTTTGTTTGCCTGTATGTACATCACGGATCCATGATCCATGATACCGTACAATCGGGTACAAACACAGTAACTATTTCCGTACTCTTACACTTCACCACCTACACTACACTACACTACACTACACTATCATCCCGTGTGGCATTGGCACGGTCCTTTATCACGGACTGTCATTTGTCTTATCAGTGAAACCAGACGAATAAGTCTTAGTTGTTTCCCGAGCCAATTTCTTACCATCCTTTCATACTGACAGGTTGTCCACAACCCGGGCACGCCGCCTGACCCCAAGTTGGCCGATCCGAGCCCGGATCTCATCCTTGTCTGCGAAGAGCCCTATCCTCGCTATCGCTCCGACGAGGTGCAGCGCTATTATGCGCAGTTTGACTATCCTCGGGTCCAATGCGGCTACATGATTAGTGAGGTGCCGCGCGACGAGGTGCGTCCCCTGGTCCAAGAATTGCGCCATCGTGCTGCCTACATCTTCGTCACCGAGATTGCAGGTGATTTTTACGAGCGCTTTGGACCTCAGAGCTGGGGAATGATGATGGACGCCCTGCGGTTGGTCGAGTCCGACCGGTAAATTAGCTATGTAGTTAGGTAGTTACTAGGAAGAAAGTTGAAACATGAACCAGTGGAGATCTGGGAGAGTAAAAAAAAATACCAGCGGGACCCAGCATTTCCCAGCCATGGCCCATGAGTCGCCATTCCCAGTATTTTTCCTCAACCATATGGTACTCGCTTCGCTCAAAAGGTCGTAGCTTGGATGTCCAAGCTTTAGCGTTGGTGGAGCCGGATGGAGCCCTTTCGGGATGTATCAATTTGGCTCATTGATCCGACCCGTCAGAGAGGTCCATCTGGCAAAACCAAATCCTCTGTAATGACGATGGACAGCGATGTATCTCTTCGCCACATCCATGGAAGCACGCCATGTTGCCTGACGGGAGTGCAGGAATATACTGATCATAGCGATGCGTTGTCGCTGCACCAGTGAGACATTTGGGGCGGACGTTGGCTTAGAATCTTTAGTATAGCAGGGAGTACAATGCATACAGTCATGCCTAAGGTGCTCCCTTGACTCTCTGTCCTCGCCTTTGTCTTACTGCGTTGGTCATGTTTCTTTGCGGTCACATTTTAGTCTCTCTAGTCAGCTTTCTCATCCTGGTGGAGTCCTCTTTACAGTCTGGGCCCTTCTTCCTCTCCCCTCTTCTGGTCTCCAACTTCTCCCAATGGTACCAACTGGGGGGGGGCAAGGAACCACTTCGGGTCTTCCTGAGGAAGAATGGAGGCCACGCTAGCACAGGTTAAAGACACTTGATATGCGGATGCAAGCTGCAATGCCATCATTTTTCGGACGAGAACCCTACTGAAAACAACCTAGCAGCTACTTACGACATGGATGGAATCAGCCGCTGCGGGATTTGCCTCGTCCATTGCTCAGAGGGTGAGACCCGGCGCCAATGCCCTATTTTTGGCCATGGCCAGGAAACTCCATTGATTCAATGGAAGGGATCGAATTACCCACGATGACCCTTGAACGAGAATGCAAAACAGGAAATCTATTCAGGTACCGTAAAAATTCCCTGGGTGGATGTCTCCGGGACCCCTCCACTTTCCCCTCCCTCTTTCTTCTCCAAGACTGAACATCCACACCCTGCCTTGCCCTGCCCTGTATCTAGTATTAGTATTGGTTGTAGGAGTTTAGTGTACGGATTGTCACCAGGAACCCACGCTGATTCCCATACTATTGCGATCTTGCTGCTACTAGACCCGAGCCGGACTCTCGCTGGACTGCTCCGCTAGGTCAAGTTTTTTTTGTCTTTTTTTTTTTTTTTTTTCTTTTACACCTTTTTCTTTTTTCGACTCAATGACTCGGCGATGAAATCATGCTGGCGCTGGGCTGGATGCATCCCCATCGCTTGCCTCCCGAATTCCGTAAGGGGATGGATGGAGGATGGAAGCGTCGTCTTTACTACTACAGGTACCCTCCGTTTCCCGCCCGGTCTCTCTCTATGTAGGTGCCCATCGCCCATTCTCCTCCGTAATTCCTTTCGTTTATTCTCGCTCGCTGCGATGACTGTCTCCTCCTCCTGCCCCCCGTCCGAGGGCAGCTCCCCTCTGCCCACTCCATTGTTCTCCGCCCCATCCACGCCGGAGACGGAGCGCGATGAGGATTGTTTCGACCTGGCCCTAGCTGCGCTGCCGGCTGTCAGTGCGGCCACCGCGCAATACATTCTCGTCACGGGGGGACTGGGCTACATCGGCAGCCACACGGCGCTGGAGCTGCTCAAGGCGGGCTACAATGTGCTGCTGGTGGACAATCTCAGCAACAGCTACAAGGAAGTATACGACCGGATCGTGCGAGCGGCCAAACAGCACTACGAGCGTGAGGGCCGGGGCCGCCAATGTCCGCAGGCGGAACTGGCGTGTATGGACTACCGCGACTCGCAAGCGATGCGAACCCTCCTGGCCACGCACGCGAGTGGCAGCAGCAGCAGCAGCAGCAGCAGCAGCAGCACCAACGAGGAGGGCGACGCTGCCAGCCGGATCCCCGCGCGCTCCAACATCACGGGCGTGATCCACTTCGCGGCGTACAAGGAGGTGCACGACAGCCTGCGCAACCCCCTGAAGTACTACCAGAACAACATCAGCGGGCTGGTGGACTTTGTCGCCCTCCTGGACGAGCACGACATCAAGACCTTCATCTTCTCCTCCTCGGCCAACGTCTACGGCACCCTCTCGGCGACCCACCGCACCCTCCGCGAGGAGCACTGCGTGCACCGGCCGGAGGCCTACTACGCGGCGGACGGACAGGAGCTCGTCGCCGTCGAGCAAGGCTGCACGGGGATCACCAACCCGTACGGGCGCACCAAGTTCTTCGGCGAGGCGATCCTGTCGGACCTGGCCGCGTCGGACCCGTCGTGGACGATCATCGGGCTGCGCTACTTCAACCCGGTCGGGTGCGATGCGTCGGGCCTGCTGGCCGAGGACCCGCGGGGCACGCCGTCGAACCTGGTCCCGGTGGTGGTGAAGGTGCTGACGGGGGAGCTGCCGGAGCTGTCGATCTACGGCGACGACTGGAGGACCCCAGACGGCACGGCGATCCGCGACTTCATCCACGTCTCGGACGTGGCGCGCGGCCACATCGCCGCGCTGGCGGCCGCGCAGGAGGGCCGCGTCGTCGAGCCCTTCCGCACCTTCAACCTGGGCACGGGCTGCGGGCACTCGGTCGCCGAGGTCGTCGCCACCATGGAGCACATCAGCCACCAGCCCATCCCGCGACGGACGGCGGACCGCCGCCCCGGCGATGTGGAATCGTGTGTCGCCATCGCCGACCGCGCCGCCGTGGAGTTGGGCTGGAAGGCGGAGCGCTCGTTGCAGGACGCCTGTCGCGATCTGTGGCATCATCTCCAGGCGGAGGGCAGGTTGAGCGGGACTGCCATCAAATCCTGATGCACGCGCTGTTGTTCTTGATTTCTTTTTTTTTACTCCTGAGAAATACCCCCAGCGAGCTGAGCTGAGCTGGGAACAGCTGGGAACAGCTGAAGTTAGATTAGGGCTGTGGAGAATTCGACCGTTGCTCGGAAATGCAAGGGCCATGAAAGTTTCCAGTGGCATCGATAGTAACAGGGGAAGTCGTGCCACGGCCCGCGATTGGTGGGGTTGGCAGCTGTCACTTGGAATGCTAAGGTTAGGTTTGCGTCTTGGTTCTTTTTCTTGTTGTTTATTTTTGGTGCTGGTTGTGGTTCTGTTTGCCTGTCGCTTATAATTACTCCGTTCTTGTTGGGTCTGCCTGTTGTCGATGATGCTTACCTGAGTTACCCGTCCATACATGACTTGATAGTAATATACCATACCCATACTTGATACAGTTCTTGGTGTACCAATGCCTGAAAGTATCTCGTAGGTGAGGAGGAGAGAGGGAATGGGTCTTAGATCAACATTGAAACCAACCGATTGGCCTGGACGTCTAAAAAGCAACGAAGAAAAATCATGTGTTTGCCCAGGCATGTGGTCCAGGTAACACAACATCGCCCCTCCCTCCCCTGCTTCCCTCCCCGTGCAGTTGCAAACCCACCTGCTCCCGGGGGCCGGACAAAGCCCCGTAAAGACAAAGAGTCTAGCTCGTATAGTTGCTCGGAAAGTTTGGGGGGTTCTCGGAACAAGATTCCTGCATAGATTAGTTGTGTTTCGAGTTTCGCTCGTGTTACGGTGGGTGGGACGGTTTGGCCTGCTGCGACGGGGTGCAGAAGAATGGCAGAAGTCAATCCCTACGATAGTAACAGTAGTTGAGTTGGTAAGAGGGGGATTGGGGACCTTGCGGGTTGGTCGTGCTGTGTGTTGCGGTCGATTCTTACTGCGGCGGCTTTTTCTGGCTTCGAGGTTTCTGAATGAGGACGTTATCGTTATCTATACGGCGGGACTATTGCGGTGGCGTTCGGTGGTGGGTGGTGGTTTGTGGCCGGGCTTAGGAGGCGGGCGCCTCCGCTTGAGCTGAGTTGAGCTCTTGGGGGTGTTCGATCCTGGATTTCCCTGGTTTACTTGATGTTGTATGCAGGTAGCTACACTGGTACTGTGCATCAATCGCGATATAGTGGCACAGGACGAACATCTTGCTGATCGTTGCCGATCGCTCCACCCGGAGAATGATGGACGGGGGTAAATATTCCCTTGGGTCCACACGGTCATGAACCCATGATGAAATGTCGATCAGATGCTGATAAGGTGACAGGGGCTGCTTTGTAGTATCAGTGTAGACGAGCGTAGAGTGATGAGATAATGTTTGTAGTTTGTGGTTACATTGTCGTGATAAGCAACGAGGCTGGGCTATGGCGGCACACATTCATGCGCCACTTTCGACGACGGTAGGACTATCGATGCTGGAGGCGGCGCTTATCTTCAAGCGAAGTGTGTTCTCGCCGGTCCCGGCACTTGAACGTATATGCAATTTACCGTCGATGTGATATTGACAGTCATTGGGACTGCTGCAGCCAATCTTGACAAGCAATTGTGGCGGCTGAACAACAAGCCCGGCGCTGGCTGTCGGTAAGCGACGCGCTAGATGTGCAATTGCTGACCCTCCTGCTCCAGTGTATCTTGCCACTAGCTACCTAGTAGCATCATCTAGCCTCTTCTACTCGATGCGACATCTCAACCACCATCTAGATCCCGTCGCTCCCAATTGCCGATTCGATCTTGATGCTGCATCATGGATGTATGCAGCGACTACCTAACGCAAGCGCCGCCAACGATGCTCGATCGGGAAAGGCAGGCGCTAACGACTGCACGATCTATCACATTGCTCCAACTGCGCATCTCGCTCTGCTTTTCCCTTTCTCGGTGAGACAGAGCAAGCATCCGCTAAACCAGGAATGGCGCTCAGGCAGCCATAAGCCATAAGAGCCCTTGACGCCGATGCACATGGCCCAGTTGATACCCCTCACTCGTTCGTCTCGGAGCTCCGGCAGCCGAACTCCTCACGGATAGCTTCACTTGTCCACCAGACTAGACTCAAACCCCCCTGCTCGCTCTCGCCAATGCAGGACCGCGCCATGCATCAACCAACCTACCCTGAATCCTTCAATGATGCCACCATCAAACAGTGGATCCAGGACTACTACACCGCCGTCGACGTCGACGGGGCCGTCGAGACCATCGCCGACTTTTTCACCCCGGATGCGGTCGTGCAGATGGGGGAGCATGGTGTATCGGACCGACCAGGTACGTCCGGCGTACACCGAAGTCCAAAGGTCCAGCTAATTTGCATGCGCTAGGCTTGATCCAACTGTTCACATCCACCTGGGATTACGTCGCTAGTCGCAGCCACCACGTCGTCTCGATCGATCCGCTGGGCAACAACACCTTTCTGGCGCGAGGCGCCGTCACTTACAACCTCAAGGACGGGCGCAGTGTCACGCCGGAGTGGGGCGGCATCATGAAGCTGGTTCAACAGGCGGGCGAGTGGAAGATGTCATATTACAAGGTGTATTTTGCGGCGTTTCCGGCGTTCTGAGAGGAGAGCCTGGAGCCTATGCATGCCTGCCATTTTACCATTTGATTCATCCCTTGCGGGAGGTGGATTGCGGAATGCGCATTGCGGAATGTTGACTACCCCGCATGAGTCAACCGAATAACTACCGGTCGGAACCAGTTCTTCTGTAGTCCTGGCACATGAACTATACCCGAATTTCCATATCAGGTGAACTACCAGCATATAATGAAATCTACCTTATCTCTCAAATTAAGAGACCCTGGAGCGATGGACTGCCCCCACGTCTCGCGCCTATCGGGTCGCTGCGGGGCCCAGAAAAGTGGCCCTCGATTAATAATCACTTTTCTTCAGCGCTTCCGAATTGCTTCAATCGAGTCAAGCCAAGCCAGCGGCGGTGATGCCAATTAGGTCGCGCTAGACATCCTCCGATCGGTGTTTAGCTGTAAGCATCAGCAACGATGCGACGACGCACGCGCAAGAGCGTCATCCAACTGGCCTTCTTCATCGCGATCCTGAGCCTCATTCTCTTCCTCAACAAACCCCCGTCCCCCGGGCGGACATTCGCCTGGACCAAAGTCACCTACCGGACCACCGCATCCCAGCTCCCCGAACCCCGAGGACTCTGTCCTGGACTCAAGGAAACTGACAAGCCGGCCCTCGTGGTCTCGCGGGTCACCGGCGATGACTCCGCCTGGCTCGACGCGCTGCGCGAGCAGTACCACCTCTGCATCTACACAGCAGATGCTGCAGCACCGAAGAACCCGGAGGCCACCCACCTCCAGGTCCCGGCCAACCGGGGCCACGAGGCGATGGGGTATCTGACCTTTCTCATCGACAACTACCACCACCTCCCGGCAGCGGGGATGGTGTTCGTGCACGGCTCGCGCTGGGCCTGGCACAACGACCACCGCGAGTACGACAACGCCGCGCTCCTGGCCGCGCTGAACCTCACATCCGCCCTGCAGCCCTGGGGGTACCACAACCTCCGCTGCGACTGGAGCGTGGGCACGTGTCCGACCACCCAGCCCGCCCAGGGCAGCCTGGAGCTGCGCCTGCAATCCGTCCTCGAGCCGTGGAGCGCCCGCATGGCCTCGGACGTGGCACTCCCGCGCGCGCTGGCCTCACTGTTCGGCCATCCCGGCCGCAGCGCCCACGAGACCCACGCGCAGACGCAGGTCCTCCTCGGCCGCAACGACCCCGTCCGCGCGCAGTGCTGCGCCCAGTTCGTCGTCGCCCGCGCCAACGTCTGGCAGCACTCGCAGGACGAGTACATCGCGCTGCGCCAGTGGCTGCTGGACGGCATGCACGCGCGAGCCCCGAACCGTCGAGGAGCGATGCCGGCGCCGGCGGACGATCGCGTGGCCGGCCGCATCCTGTCGTATGTCTGGCATATCCTGTTCGTGAAGCAGAGCGCCGTCCGCCCCGACGGAGAGTTGGCCCCCGGGCTGGTGGATCTGGATCGGCTGAATCGTGTGGCATGTCCCAGTGCGCAGGAGTGTTATTGTCGGCTGTATGGGCGGTGCGGGTTGGAGAGGTGCTCCGTGGGAAGCTGTAAGGGGGAGTATGTGGTGCCGCCGGAGTATAAGGTGCCCGAGAGGGTGATGAGGGGGTAGATTCTGTGGGCTCGACAGAGTATCTTGAAGGATGTTGGGCCTGTATTTATACTATTTGTTGGAGACTACATATGCTCGAATTGGGATACCTGCTGGTTCGGGTTGTTTGTTCATATTGATTGGTTTCGGGATGTGGTATATATCTAGAATGTGAGCCTTGTTTGAGAATATTCTTGCTTCGCAGGGATGCGATGCAATCGTCGCCTAAACCTATAAAATGTTGCAAAAGTACGTGTATAATAGTCTGGATAAACTACTAGTGTGAGTCTAGGTGTGTTAATTCTTGCTGCTACAGCCATGTGCGCTGCGTGATGGCAGTCACAACACATGGTCTAGCATGCTATCTTTATCAGAATCTCAGACAACATGAATAGTGGATTGACATGCGTATTGGTATCTGATCCAGGATGTCTGCAGGTGTACAGTACACGACCGATTCAAACCTCCACATCGCAAACATGGGGTATGATCGACGTTGATCTGGATGACCGGGGCATTTGCTGAATATATATAGGGCGAACAAGGAGGCGACATACGACAATCAGGGGACCAGAACCGGGCCAGATAGTAGCCAGAGGGAATGGTATACTCTCTGCCTCTCAATAGAAAGATTTATACTACAAAATCGATATCAAGCACGACATCCTCGGACATCATTGTGCTCTCATGGGAGCTGGATCCGAGCGCGGATAGAATCGATGCCTGAGATATTATTTCGGTAGCCTTGCTGCCTGAAAAGAAGGAGAGTCTCACGTGACTCGACATGTGCGATCAGCGGTGACTAAGCGGGCCGAGCAGATCACCGCTACAATAAGGCTGCCGTGATTGGCCAGCCCTCCCACAGCCGCTCAGTGATCAACAAACCACCAGCATCGCAGTCTCCATCGTTCCTACCATCGACATCAGCATCATATCATGGCTCTTGTTTCATGACTCTTAAGCGGATGCACTGCAACTCCGATCTGCTTTTAAATCCGACTGTCGAGATAAGAAGTACGACGCACGCAGGGCCGAATAGTCGTTAGCGCCAATAACCAGAGAGATGGGGCCGTTGCGAGCGAGCATGGCGGCCATGGCCTACTAGCTGCTGATGACGCGGAGGGCTGCGTCATACTTCGACTTCAAGCTGGACTCTGAGGAAGCCTGCAGCCACTCGCAAGCTTCGCTTGAGTCCGAAGACAAGTATCGCCCCCGCATCCTTGGTCGGTGATGGGTAGATGGACAGCCGCAGCCATGACAGTGATGCTGACAGTGTTGATGCTTCAAAGAGTTTAGAACATAGTTGAGTCTTGAAGAAGTATGCCTTCTGCTACGATCAGTCAAACGAAACCAGCCGACGAGATCATGACCGGGTCGAACGCTTGATTGCGAGTCTGACGCACACGTCCGATCTACTGGCTTTCCTCGCTGCTCTCAAACTGCACTTCAAGTCCTGCATCAGATAGTGGATAAGTAGTGGATAGTGGCACGCTGCCGGTACCAATCGTCGTCAATTATGTCCAAAGCTCATTTCACTCAGCCCGAGTGGATGCCAGTGTCTCTAAGTCGAGGGCAATACGAATACCCGGCATATCCGATCCCTCTCCCCGCTACGAGGCGCACCATATCATCAAAGCATCTGTTTAAATAGTACTTCAAGCCTTTCCTCGCATTCTAGTAATGAGCAACTTGCTCTGCAGAAAACAAGCATCATGAGCAAAGTTCATGTCGGAATATGCATGAGACATTGTCGGTGATGGCGCGCTATGGCGGTGGATGATCCGCAGACAAGTGGATCCGACCAGGTCGGACTTTGGTTGGACCAATCTTTCAGTCTACCATCACTCGGTTTCGGCGTACCCAAACCACCGCATTGTCTCCGTCGGATGACAGCAGTGGTCGCGACAGGAGCGCCATGGGGTGATTACCTACAAAAGACAGGTCGACGCCAAAGCAAAGCAGACAGAAGTCCATATAAAAGACGGATCCCGTCCGCTGTACGTCCTTTGTCGCGGTCTCCCATGGTTAGTATTTGCGCTTGATGATGATTGCGTTGTCTGTGCCTGACCCGGATCAATATCCGATCTGGACGGCGATTGGCTCAGGAAGGAAGGACAGTGCCTTGATGCCACAACAATTTTGGAGCTGTCGTGGTGGCTGTCATGCATGGTTTCGATCATTCCCTCGGGATATGATTTCATTACTTTTCCAGCACATCCCGCAAGACGAAGCGAAGCGACAACTGTGATCAACGCAGCCAGATAGCCCTTTGCAAGCAGAGAGACAGAGATCTCCAAGGAGGCCTTGGGGTCCTGGATTTTGCCTCTGTTGCTTCCCCCCTATTCATTTTGCATTGAGTTTTCCCCCTTTCTCTCGTGAATCGTTGATGGTTGGTTCTGAAAATGGAATTTTGCGTGGTCGACTAGTTCTGACTAAGAGCCTCCGCTGTGGGGATTATTTTGGTGTTAACGTCTGGCCGACATCGGCCGTTGACCAATTGACGGTGACAATGACTCGCCTGATCGGAGATACTGTCGGACCGGACTCCACAGCCTGCGCGTTCACAGCCTTCTGGGATGGATTGCGCCTTCCAACTGGCTTCTATCGGAACCACCCGTGAACCACACGCGGTCTTAGCTACGATAGTCTGTTCTGCTAAAATCGCCGACACTTTTCTGCTTGTAGGCATCCTTTTTCTGCTCAGCCAATGGGCGAACCCCGGCTGCTGCCTTCACTCCACCACAGGCGATCCGGAAACTCTGACCTGCCGACGAATTTTCTCGACGAGATGATCTCCTGGTTCATCTCGCAATCGTCGTTCGCATTCATTGCACGCAGTCCATATGCGCTGATAGGAATGTGTCCTCATCTCAAGTGCGGGCTACCGTTCTTGAATTGCATGCGAAATTGAGTCTCACAATTCTACTTGTCACTGAGAGGGAAATGGTCGATCCTAAATGTGGTCGACCCATTGTTTGCTCAACTGCGTTTCCCCTGCGCCCCGGAAAAGGATTTTTGCTCGAGTGGATCCCCAATAGCTGACGACAAAAGATCTCGTCTCGGATGCGCTACTGACAGAAGCCCATCAGCTGTGAGCATGCCTCTCATTTGTAGCGCACCGTCAACCCCCAGTCTTGCGTCCTGCTGGCGGGCCAAAAACATATTCTGCCCTCCAGGATGATGACCGGTGTTGGCTGGGAGGGGGCCTCAGTTCTTGTTGCCTGTGTCGCCCCCCCTTCCCCAGTCGAACAACCAGGACCTTGATATTTCAACTGTAGTGAACGGACAGGTGCTCCTCTTGGTCGAATGACATCGCCACAACGGTCCCATCCCAAGGCTTAGACATTGCTCCCCTGGGCTCTCAGCCTCCCTTTTGCTCCCGTAGCACACCGTTCTTGCCCCCTATATATGGTTTTCGGGCACGTATCCACTCTTGAGAACTGTCGGTTTACCCAGGCCCCCGTCCAATCCAAGAGCATTGGCGTTGCGTGGTTCCGTTGCTGGTCTCTGCCATAATCTCATTTCCCCTCCGCCCAAGAACTTCTGTTTTTATTTTTATCCTTCTTCTTTTGATTAAGCGTTTATTTTTGGTGTCCTACGGTCCCTGCCTGGACTGCCCCTCTGAGGTTCAATAAACTCCTTTAACCTTTGCTTGTTCAAAAGCAATTGTCCAGACATCCTTACAGGCTTCCCATCTTCCACTCGTGTCAAGATGGGTACGCCAGGACATAACTACGGGAGTCATTCTCCCCAAGAGAGTGAGAGCAGTTACTTCTCACATGCTTCTCCCACCCACAACGTGAGTGTTCTGTCATGGTCCACCGGCCATTGCGACCGTCCGCTGTGCCTAACCCCAGCAGCAACAACCGTACCACAGCGACGAGCACGAGGAACAGGAGCAGTCCCTGCTGCAGCGCAACCCATCCAGCCACTATGGCGGTCCCTTCGAGGACCCCGCCATGTCCACCGACTCCCTCCGTCGGTACACGCTGCACGACCCCGGCGCGACGGTCTTCGCGACGCCCCCTTATCAAGAATCCGAGTCGAGTGACATCTACGATGCCCGATCGACCACCGAAAAACCCGCTTCCCAGGCCGGCAGTCGCGCGGGCGCCCTCCGCCGCTTCGGAACGAGAAAGATCAACCTGGTGCAGGGTTCCGTCCTGAGTGTCGACTACCCCGTCCCGAGTGCCATCCAGAACGCGATCCAGCCCCAATACCGTGAAGCGGAGGAGGCGTTTGCGGAGGAGTTCACACACATGCGCTGTAGGTGCTTTCCGACCACGAGGGGAGAAGGGAGGGGGAGCTGACCGAGATCACCCCTAGACACGGCGGCCACGTGTGATCCTGACGAGTTCACGTTGCGGAACGGTTATAACCTGCGGCCCGCGATCTACAATCGACACACCGAACTGCTGATCGCCATCACATACTATAACGAAGACAAGGTCCTGACGGCGCGTACCCTGCACGGTGTCATGCAAAATATCCGCGATATCGTCAACCTGAAGAAGTCCGAGTTCTGGAACAAGGGTGGACCGGCGTGGCAGAAGATTGTGGTCTGTCTCGTTTTCGATGGTATCGATCCGTGCGACAAGAACACGCTGGATGTGTTGGCAACAATCGGTATTTATCAGGACGGAGTGATGAAGAAGGACGTCGACGGACGGGAGACCGTCGCACACGTGGTAAGTCACTCGTTGCGGGAAGGCGGGCGGTGATGGACCCGGCGATTGTCTCAGATCCGAGTGAACAAGGCAAGAAGTACTGACAATCCTCACTCACCCCTCACAGTTCGAATACACCACTCAATTGTCGGTCACCCCCACTCAACAATTGATCCGTCCCCAGGGCAATGAGTCGACCAATCTGCCCCCCGTGCAGATGATCTTTTGTTTGAAACAAAAGAACAGCAAGAAGATCAACTCTCACCGCTGGCTGTTCAATGCCTTCAGTCGAATTCTTAACCCCGAAGTTGTCATCTTGCTGGACGCTGGTACTAAGCCTGGCCCCAAGTCTCTGCTGTCGCTATGGGAGGCCTTTTACAACGATAAGACCCTCGGTGGTTCTTGTGGTGAGATCCATGCCATGTTAGGTCAGGGATGGCGCAAAGTCCTGAACCCTCTGGTTGCTGCCCAGAATTTTGAGTACAAGATCTCCAACATCTTGGACAAAC